AAAAAAAAACAGAGAAATTCATGGAGTAGGCTTTTGGGGGCACTATTCAGCTTACATTATAGTCCTTGTATCATTTGAGCTTCAACAGCCTGACAAAATCACCCGATAATGAAAAGATACGAGCAATTACTTCCTCTAGCTACAAAACGCTAAGATCTTGTGTTTTTGTGTATGTTGGACAGTAGATTTTTGAGAAAGATTTTTATAAGCGACGTGATAAGAAGAAAGGAGGATTTGGGGCGGTCTTATGAAGAGGTAGCTTGAAAGACAGGAAGTCAGAGAAAATGCAAGGAAATGTACTGAAAGACACGATCATGTCCTCACAGAGGAAGGAACCGCCGGCTTTAGATTCAACTACGCGTATGGAAGTGGTTTTCATAATACCCTTTGAGTGTTTATTTAGTATCGTTAACAACGTGATTAACCGGTTCTAACTAAGTTTTTGACAGTATTCACCAAAGTTTATTTAAGAATTAAAAAAATATTATTTTAATTTATTTTTAAATAAAAAATATTTTAAAACACAGTTTTTGCCCCGGAGAGGTTCACTATGTCAAGATTGTTAAGCTATTAACAGCTTAATGATTATTGATTATTTTAGTGTGAACAAATAAGAACATGCTACGAAAATACAGCTTGGGTCAATGGATCTTAGGCTCTTATTTTAAAATGTCAAAGGGATAATACCCTTTATTATTATTGTTCTTATTATTTATTATTATTATTATTGAACATGAGCAGATGGAATTAACGGAATCAGGCCCAGAAAATAGGGTAAGAAAGGAGATAAGAACACTGGCCCAAAGACAAGAGGCAGACACTAGTTGTGTCTCTTGGTTTTTCTTTTTCTTTTTCTTTTTTATATATATTTTTTTCAATAACATGGAGACCAGGTTAGCAGGTAAAAGAATATTTCTACTTTTTGTGTAAGCAAAATATTTGTCTCAATGTTCTGGCCATGACAAATCTTAGCCCCTCCACACAGTAACACGATAAAACATACTATAATCCAAAATGATTGAATTTTTGTTTTATTTGCAACATCTGTATATTTGATCTTTAAAAATACATAGAATTAATATATTTTTGATAATACTTAGAATTGTAATAATAGTGTTTTTAAAAATAATTTTTACTTACAAATAAATTAAAATAATATATTTTTTATTTTCTAAAATTTATTTTTAATATCAATGTATTAAACTATCCAAAAATATTAAAAAATTAATTTCAAACAAAAAATAATAATTTCAAAAGTGTTTTTTAGAAGGTGTTACCTTTCAAAAGAAAACCATTCTAGCACTTAATAACATTTATCAACACATTACACATCAAACAAATATATATATATATATATATATATATATATATATATATAATGGACATGGTCATGGGTTTTTTAGTAATAAGAAAACAAAACTGCTAAAATTGATTATGATTTTCTCTTCTATTTTATTATTATTATTATCACTATTGGTCAATGTAATTTCCTTTTTATATATAATGAATCTTTATTACTTGTCTTCGAGTAATGCTACATAGATTGTACGCACTACATTGTGGGTATTTATACAAAATATCAATGAATAGTAATAAGAAAAACAACATCTTTTAAGATAGATCTAAGATAAATGCTTGCGTATTGCTGCAAGTCAATTCATAAACGATACAAATTATTATGGTAATGGTAATTAAAAATTAGAATTATGAACATCATGCCAATTCATGCAAACCTGAATTTGATTATAATAATAATAATAACAATAATAATAATTTTATATTTGAAATCAAATTTATCATTTTTTTCATTAATAATAATTTTTTAAATTTATTAATAATTATATTAATAATTATATTAATAATATTATTATTATTAAATATGACAATCAAGTTTTTATAGTTTTTAATTTTACCATTCAAATGAAATCTATAATTTTTTTTAAATAGTAAAAATATTTTTAAAAAAATTTAATAAAAATACTAATAATAACAATAATAATAAGTTTCATATTTCTTGAGTCTGACATCCCCTACAAATTTAAGTAACGTGAGTTTATTGGTATTATACTCAAATTATTTGGGTATAGACATTTCTACTTAACTTAATTAACATTGGTTTGGTATTTTTATCAGACCTTTAGTATTTTAGTTCCAAAATGCTAGAATCTGATAATTATGTTTGACTTGAGTGTTTGAAGTATAGTTTTTTTGTCAGACCCGAATACTTAAAGTTTAGTATTTATTTTTTATAAAAAAGATAAAAGAAGCCCTCAATTTATAAGTTAAAATTTTATATCTTAAAAAACAAATCAACATCCAAAAAAACTTAATCAGATCATTTTATTTTTAATCATTCTTTTAATACTAAATATATTATATGAAAAAGGTAATTTCATGCCAACTACATGCTTAACAGAACTTTTTTAATAAAAATAATTATATTATTACACTGCTTCAATTTATAATTATCTATACATTGATAGTTAAAAGATAAATAGTAAAACACCAATCTCCTAGTATATTATATAATAATTTCATACATATTCCCTTTTTAGTATTCCAAATCATCTTTTATTTTTATTTTCTTGTTATAAAATATAATCATCTTCCAATTATATGCACTGCTTTGTAGATGGCTACTTCCTCATCACCATCACTACTATTTTTCTTGTTATAAAATATAATCATCTTCCTATCAATTATATGCACTGCTTTGTAGATAGCTACTTCGTCGTCGTCATCACTACTATCAATCATCATGGCATCTTTTAACCTTTGACAGAAGCTTGATTTTGATTTTTTAGGCTTCACTGAGCCTTCCAATACCATAACTCTGGTCACTGTTGTTCTTGTAAACTATGCGAACCAATAGAACCTCAATCAGTTACGCAATCCACATGTCTGGGGAATCAGAAAACACCAAGCTTTAAGGTATACAACTTTGATTCTCACTTTTGTTCATTCATTTTCGTTTGCTTTCATACTTCCGCCTCTTTCTTCCCTCTTTCTTTCTTTTCTTTTTCACCTAAATTCTTACGTTTCTTCCAGCTCGTAGGTCCATCGCTCCTTCGAACGTCTCCATCAGGTGCATTTTCCATGTCCTTTAACGCCTTCTTCTTCTTCTTTTTCTAATTTCTATAATGGATGGCAGTGACAAAGATCTAAACTCGAAGGATTTAGACTCGGACCATTAATTAATTAATCCTTAAATCTCCCATCCCCCACTACTCTAGATAACGAATTCGAAAACCTAGATAGCATTCCTGACCATCTTTCGACCTTGAAGAAACTTATCTTGGTGGGTTTCAACAATCCTCATCATTATCCAACAAATTATATTCTAGAAAACACTATTTGCAATAGCTTGTACACCTTTTTATCCTCGATTGTGACTTTAAAAATCAAAAGACATTAGTGGCTAGACTTGACCTCATTTTCTCCACTCACGAACTCATCACCAATAGCATTTCTCCAGCACCAGTCCATTAATCCATAATCAAAAGGTTAGCAGGACTCATGTTATTAGCAATGCTACTCACTATTTGAGATTCCTCCAGCTAGCCCATGCTTTCCAACAATGGTTTCCACATGCTCTTCACGATCCATCTGTTCCTTTCCACTACATTAATTAAAGGAAAGGAGCATTAGATAATAGGGTTGACCTACGGAGGAGATTAGTATAGCATTGTTTGCATCCATTATTTTGGGAGGAGGAGAGCTTCAAGTAAAATGATTCAGAGCTAATATAATACCAGCAGTTAAGATTGTAAATGACTATAATAGCCTTAAGAATAATGATCTGGATTTTCGAACCTCAACTTTCAGTTTTGTGGGCACAATTAAAAGTCGCCTAGTGAGCTAGTTTTAATTACATAGACAAAAAGTTTTAATGAAATTAAAAAAGAATTATAAAGATAACACATAATAATCAAATTGTCAATTATTTATAAAAAATTAAAATTTTAAAATAATTTTCTTCTATATAACTTAATTTTTTTTAATTGAATAATGAGGGTTCATCAGACCCTACTTAATTATGTATTTTTTTCAATTACCTCTCTCAAAAAGGAAGGATTATGCGGAATACATGCTGGTAGTATATAATATATATACTTTGTGGATACAAGCGAAACAGCATACTCTCAAAAAGGAAGGATTATGCGGAATATATAATATATATACTTTGTGGATATAAGCGAAACAGCATAGTCGTTGTAGTATAGTGGTGAGTATTCCCGCCTGTCACGCGGGTGACCCGGGTTCGATCCCCGGCAACGGCGTTTTTGGTTTTTTGGCCATATACGGTATAACCTTTCTCAACTTGAAGCACACGCTGCTTCTAGAAAATGAGCCAAGACCAAGTACGACCCCATAGTAAATGAATTTATTTTCCAAGAGTTTCACATGGGACCATGGAAATCTCATGTCTCTGGCTGGTCCTACAAGATTATGAGAACATGTCTTGATTCATTATAATCTCGGATTCTTCTTGGAATAGTTGTAAGCTACAAACCAAAATTAGCAGTCCTTTTCCATAGTGTGCTTGGAGAAATGAAGTATGAAGAATAATAACCTCTAGCAGCCATGTTGCAAATTCAACTACTCAAAAACATTTTTGACTTTTCAGAACCGTGTGTGATCTGCTATTCGAACCAGCAGAGCCATGTTCGCCACCGAGTGCTCGCTCTCAGTTGCCTAATTTGTGCTAAGAACTGACACTTTGAGTCACTAATATCAATACCACTATCTATGTTTTCCGAAGTTCTTCCCTACTTCCAGCAAAGATTTCGAACCACCAGGGAATTCAAATCTAAAGCAAAAATTATCTCTTTATTAGATCTCTGAGAGCCTACACAAAAATATGAATCAGAGTTGATTCCGTTCTTTATATGTAGCAAAACTTGATTTACTCCAGAAACAAAAATCTTAGAAAGAACAATAAAACTAACCTGGACTAGAACCTCATTTATACTTCTCCAATTAGCCTACAAGTCTCCAGAAGAGGCATGTTCATACTAACATCCCCGCCTGGGCAGCTGAAGTTAAAGAAGCTAGAAACTAGTCCTTTTGGCAGACAACAAGAGGCAAGCATATTTGCATGCTATGGCGCTACAGGATATGAAAAGGCACACCAGCAGGGGAAATACAACAGAAAAGGAAAACCACTTTTAAGAATATATCAGAACAGCAAACTTCAAGCTTTCATCAATGCAGATGCCTCAAAATCTATGAATGCATTCTTCATCTAGACACATTACAAGAACCAGGAGAGAATTACGTTCTGAAATATAATCTTTGTTTTCTTTGCTGTGCACTTCATAAAACACACTGAATAGCTTGACACACTGTCACGAGAAGTTCTTATTGCAGTTAATGCCTAATGCATCCACTGAATGGACCGCTACTCTTGTAAATGAAAAACATGAAAAGCAAGCAAAAAGAATGACAAAGCAATAACCCCGATTTCAAGGGGAAATTCCAGTATTACTAGTACACAAATGAGACAACATGCTTATTTTATGAGCAGTGAAACTTAAAGCACGGAGAGAACTAAGCTGTCCCTACTGCTATTAATCTGAATCGCAATGTTGTTACAACCTCTCTGTGACAACATTGATGCAATAAGCTATCTTTGAAAATTGTAGAGAGAGATCTTGCTTTATACGAAAACAGGGCAACCGAGAAACAATTGAAATACAGCATAAATTAGTTTTGCCTGTAAGCAATGTAATTAGCCAAAGCAATCAACGGAGCCGCCTTCTCTTGATCAAATCCAGCAAGCAACTCCCTAGCTTCGTTAAGCAACTTCTCAGCAAACTCCCTAGACTTCTCAATCCCTATTAACTTGGGATAAGTAACTTTATCCGCAACCAAATCTTTCCCTGCAGTTTTCCCCAATTCTTGTGAAGATTTGGTAACATCAAGAATATCATCCACTACTTGAAACAACAATCCAATACTCCTCGCGTATCGCCTCAATTTCTCAACTTCCTCATCGGTCCCTCCACCTAATATAGCCCCCAAAACAACCGCACCTTCCAACAACTTAGCAGTCTTATGAATATGAATAAATTCAAGCTGTTCTAACCCCACTCCGGACAACCCTTCAGAACAAATATCCACAACTTGTCCAGCAACAAGTCCTTCAGCACCAATCACTTTTGCCAATTCACCAACTGCACGAACAATTCTAAGAGGCGAAACATTGAGTGTAGACACTGCAATATGTTCAAATGCAAATGCCAGTAAAGCGTCCCCTGCCAAAACCGCAACATCCTCACCAAAAACAATATGATTGGTGGATTTTCCGCGGCGAAGATCATCATTATCCATACAAGGAAGATCATCATGTATCAATGACATAGTATGGATCATTTCTACAGCACAAGCAGCAGGCATAGCCATGGATTCAGACCCACCAACAAGCTCACATGCAGCTAGACAAAGCACTGGCCGAACCCTCTTGCCACCAGCCAAAAGAGAGTAACGCATAGACTCATGGATTTTAGCCGGTTCTTTAAGAGTAACAGCAGCATCTAATGCTTTGTTAACAGAATTGGCTTTCTGTAACATATAAGACTTGAAATCAAAAGTAGGTTTGTGTTGATCTTCTTGAAGAGTCTCTCCTGCAAGAACTGCGCAAATTGAAGACATGGGTTTTCTCTGTCTTTGATGTTTTGAAGGGATTTGAAGGGTTTTATGGCCCGGGGACAAGAAGTTGGACATGGGTCTGGATCTGGATCTTGTTTCTTTGTTGATGATTGAAGTTATCTGAACCCATGGACCCAGATTCACAGAAGTCATTTTTTTTTTCTTTTTTGCTGTTCTTGGGTGTGTGTGTGTGTGTGTGTGTGAGAGAGAGAGAGAGAGAGAGAGATTGCTGCAACTCTGTGAATGCGAGTTGATCAAACCTCCGGGGAATTTGCTTTGGTGGGTACCTATAATATAATTGTAATAAAAAACTGAAGTGCAAGTGAAAAACAGATTTGGTTACGTATGAGCAATAGTGCTAAAGTTCGACAACAAGAGTTCATCTCAGATACAAAGGCGTAATGACTTTTCTAACAACAAGTACGGAGAAACAAGGTACCCCGAGAAATAGGAATCTAGACTCTAGAGAGCAATTGGAATCGGAAAATTTGGACAGACAGAGTGGGTGGAGGAACTGTGATGCCTGAGGCTAAGGCCACCGGAAATGAGAAGTGACAAGGATAAGATTTTGGATTGGATTTGATTGGATGGATCATATTATCAGAATATTTTCATAAGCTAGATAGCTATTGCCATTCTAGAGATTACCGGTAATTATTTAATTAAATTTAAGAGTTAATTCTAATTCTGGTGCAGAGGTTAGTCTAATTCTGTGTTTCCATATTGGCTCTTCAAGAATGTGTAACTTCTTGAAATATGAAAAATAAATAGATTACGCTATTAGTTTTTAAATATTGATAAACGAGAAAAAAGTTATTAAAAAATTTAAGTATTCATATTTTAACCATAAAAGAGCCAATATTTACATCAATTAATATATTTTTCTGAAATTTAAACAGTAATACTTTAGCTATTAAAAAAATCAATATTTATGTTAATAAATAAATCTTCTCGAGAAGAGTTTAAATTCCAAGATCTTTCGTCAACGGATATATTTTTCAACCTACAAACAGCCTTGTATTTGTCAATCAACTACTAATTAGATTGACTGAAAGGGATAGAAAATGCTACCAAATATTTGGGAGAAATTTTTAAAGCTTGAAGATGATGTAATATGGAAACCCTAGTCGTCTGTCTAATCAACACGAAAACTCAACCTGCAACTTCATGTAAAAGTCGTTAATTTGACCCTTTCCCAAGAATAGTAGGAGCAGAACCCGGTCAGATCCGAAAAATTAACAAGCACATAGTTCCATTTAGTTTCTACCGGTAGAAATTTTCCTCTGGGATTATGGAAATATAAGTTTTTTTCATATATATAGTTATTATTTTTTAAAATTTTTTATTTGAGAATATATTAAAATAATAATTTTTTATTTTTTAAAAATTATTTTTAATATCAATATGATCTAAAAATATAAAAAGTTAATTTAATTTATTCCATTCTCATTTGAAACACAATATAAAATGGGGGCTAAATTGTTAATGTTAACTGGGGAAATGGAAGTGCTAAATAAGGAGATTTCCTATATATAACTTTGAAAAAAAAAGAAAAAAAAATATAATCTTTTTTTTTGTCCTCTTTCATAATTCATAATAATATAAATAGCATAAAAAATAAAAAATAAATAAAAAATAAATCTGACCATATTTACGTTGCATACTTAGAACTAATAAATTATTAGATAATTAAGAAATTAATGTTTGTGTATTGCTTGTATAAATGTGTTTGGAAATATACAAGTTATTTTTAAAAATGTTTTTATTTAAAATTATATTAAATAATATTTTTTATTTTTTTAATATTAACACATTAAAATAATTTTAAAAAATATAAAAATAATTTAAAATATAAAAATCTTTTTTATAAAAAAAACTTGATTTCAGACGGTATTAGCAGTCTAACTTTTATTTTATTGCATGCAATTTTTGTAACCAATCAGATGAAGACATGAAAATGGTATGCCAACGTATGCATTTCCAATTTGTGGATTCAACACATGTTCCACGGCACGAAAAAACTGCCCCTATCTAGCCGGGACACGTTTCATGCTCATGTCATTTATAGGGTTCAAAATTGAAATGTGTTTCATGGTTATTATTTTTTTATTTTTAAATTGTATTAATATTTAAAATAATTTATAAAAAATAAAAAATATTATTTTATATATTTTCAAATTAAAAAAACTTTAAAAAACAATCACTAAATCATTCTTAAACACTATCTCAAAGTGTATTTATTTTTGCATTCAAAAAATGTTTTTAAAATTTTTTTAGTATTTTTAATTTTAAATTTTTTAATTTTAAATTATTTTAATATACTAAAAATAAATTTTATAAAATAAAATAAAAATATTATTTTAATATATTATCAAATAAAATACCGCATTTTAAAATCTAATCAAATCAAATCAAATCATATTCCTGAACACTAATTTAATACAGTAAATTAATTTGACAAAGTCAGACAAGTTTTTGGTGGAATAGCTTGACCCGATAACAAATAGGACTTTAATTTTTGATGGAGGACATCGAACGGACACGCATAGCTATAAATGTTTGGTGTTATCTGAAAAATTCAATTTTGGATGAAGTTTCAACTTGCATGACATGAGCACCACTCCACATGTACTATATTATAAACTATATATTATAATTAAAACTGAAAAAAAAAAAAAGGAGAATTCTGTTCCGCAAGACACAGTCCACCTTTACCTGGAGGATGAAGGCATGACTGTTTTCTCAGTAGAGATATTTTGATATTTTTAAATTAATTTAGAACAAAATAGGTATTTGTCTTTAAATTTGTACTGTAGATTATCATAAATATCTTTAATGTTAATACATTATTTTGTGTTATTTAGAGGTATATTTGTTTTGTGTTATTTAGAGGTATATTTATATTTTTACTTATTGAGTGCACAGTAAAACTACTAATCTGGCCTTATAAATAATATATATAAAAAAAAAATCCTTTGGGCAGCTAGGATAGACGATAAAAATATTTCATTGTAATTAGGTTTTAGTTTTTTACATGTCCTAGATTTGATGGTATTTTTGTTATAATATTGGTATTTTTATTGTTATTAGGTAAAGTAAAAATTATTTTGATTTTTTAATAAATTAAAGAAATTTAAAAAGCATTAGCCCGTATTGAGTATATATCAATTCATTAACTGCTTCTTTTTTTATATAGAATATATGGTTGATTCTAACAATTAAAAATAAGACCTTAAGATTTTATTAAATTTGTTTTGATTTTTTCTCTATATTGATATGACCTGTGTAGAAAATAGAGCTTTAATTTTATTTCAACATATATTTTTTTCTCTCTCCTTTGATTCTTGTGTCCCACAATAAATTAAAGAAATTTAAAAAGCATTAGTACGTATATATCAATTCATTAAATGCTTCTTTTTTTATATAGAATATGTGGTTGATTCTAACAATTAAAAATAAAACCTTAAAATTTTATTAGATTTGTTTTGGTTTTTTTTTTATATTGATATGACCTGTGTAGAAAATAGAGTTTTAGTTTTATTTCAACATATATTTTTTTCTCTCTCCTTTGATTCTTGTGTCTTACACTACAATTTTTCAAATTAGTCATTTTGCTTCTTTTTTTTTATTTTGTCCCTTATTTTTTGGTTGATATTTGTTTTATTTCAAATAACTTATGAAAATCAAAATTTGTTTTAATTTTATCCTTATTAGATTATTTTTTTTTACTTTTCTTTGTTTTTTGACTTAGTCCTTGATTTTTTTGGTTAATATTTTTTTATTTGAAATAACTTATGAAAAATAAAATTCATTTCAATTTCATCGTCGTTTGATTTTTGTATAATTTGATTTATTTAATTCTTATTTTTTTAATTACTATTTATGTCATTTGAGATAATTTTTGTAGTGTAACTTTTTTGATAGTTTCATCATTGATCATTTTTTCCTATCAGATTTTATCTTTATTCCTTTGATTGTTTATTCCTTTTACTTTGCTAAATTTTTTAGTTTAGTTTTTTTTACATTTAATTTTATCCTTTAACATTAAATTAATTTGAATTTAAGCTTTTTGGTTAACTCCATTTTGAAATTTCACATATTTCAATTTGAAAAATTAACCTAGCTTAAAAACATTCACTAGGGGTTGTCTTTTTTTATTGTTCTTTTAAGCTAATTTTTTTAATATATTTTATCTTTTGATTTTTATTTTATTGGAGATTAAGCTCATTATTTTTTTTTAATATGCTTTTTGCTTCTTATTTTTTATATATTTGGTTGAGTTATCTAGGTCATTTTATGTTTTGTTGCATTTTACATATATTTTCTCAGAAATCAAAAAGTTTTCAATTAAATATAATTGATTGATTGAATATAAATCAATATTCACTTCATTGTGTTTTATTCTATTTGTTTTTATAGAGTATTGCTTTAGTAAACCATGTAATTTTTTTCAATATCGTCTTACATCCTTTTACAGTTGAGTTTAAACCAACTTAGCAAGCTCTTTTAGTTGCATACAATGTCTACAATAGAGTGGTTGTAAGTCTATAATGGAGTGATGGTAAGACTCTAACAATCTTTTTTTTCTTCTCCTTACATATATCATATTAATGGGTTATTTTTTATTTATTATTGACAAGTATTTTTTTATAGTTCATTTTCTTTTATGTTGTTGCCTTTGATTTAAATTAAATATTAAATTAATAGATGTTATCGAATATAATCAAGTTAATAACCTGAAAATCGAGTTCTTCTATTTTCTTTTAAAACACAATTATCTCGCGGTATAACACAGGTTTCCAATTTAGCCTATAACTATATTTAAAAAAAAATATTAGAAATTTTGTAAAAATATTTTATACTTAGCAAGCTCTTTTAGTTGCATACAAGCTCTTTTAATAAAAATATTCTTAAACTTTAGAAACCATATTGACATGAATATAGTAGAAAAGGTTTTATTCGCAAATACAATACAAATACAAAATAGGACTGTGTCATAACATTTGATTGGCTAAAAATCCCTTAAAACTTAAGAAATCATGACCTATATTTGAGAGGGTTTTATTGGTACATATAAAAATTATTTTATTACCTTGAAAAACAACATGCTCTTGATAAATGATGTTCCTCGTACTCGAATCAATTTCTTTTTTCATTATCTAGGAAACTTGCTACTTTTTCCTCTAAGTGTTTAAAACTTGATCAATTGACACCATGATTAAAAAGCTTGGACCGCTTTGATTGGTTAACCCGAAACTTAGATGATCTAAAACTTGAATGAATCTGGATTCATACAAAATTCTATTGAGAAATTAGCTTAATTAAATCTAAGTGACCTACCGAGTTAACTCAAGATCAAGTAATTTGACGAAACCCAAATAAAACCCTACTTATTTTTAAAATTTCACCATTTTGATTCCAGGATAAAATCCCTACGCAGGCAACCACACGCAGAGGGGAAAAAAAGAATCCTTTCTTCCCCTGAATCTTGTCCCACCCCTTTTCCCATCAATTCAAGCTTATTCTTTCCGATCCACAAACAAAAGAGTACCTACCTTCAATTTCCAGCAAGTTAACTTCTCCTTTCATCTTCTCCTTGTTTATATATATATATATATATATGTGGTTGGCTTTCGGGATTGATCTGATCGTCATCGATCATTTGAGGATTGTTCTTACTTAGTTTTGGCGTATGGAATTTAATTAACTTGTGTATGTTACGACCTGTAGCAATTTGCTTGGATAAGTTTTGAAAGCAGATTTTTTTTCATTTGTTTATTATTTGAAAATAAGTTTTATTTATTTATTTTAGCTACAAAAAATTTGTAAGTCAATGCAACCAAGTAGAGTTTCGATGCAAACATTGTAAATCAGGTTATATATCAAGTAGCAGCCTAGCACTCGTGTTGAAAAATACATAAATTGAAAGTATTATTCCTTTTCACACACCACTAAAAGAAAACTCGAGTAATTAGCGATACAGGAGACTTTTTTGGGGAAAAAAATATATTTCTATGATTAATTTCATTTTTTTCTAGTTTTGTTTTCTCATTATGTATTATAATGCTTTTCTAGTTTTTTCCTATTTAAATGGAATAATTTTCTAATTTATTTTTTCGTTAAAGTATAAAGGCAGTAAAAAGCCCATTTTCCAAGGAGTGCCTGGAGGCCTTTCAAAGGGGGAAATAAAAATTGACAAGAGACTTGGCACCATCTCTGGCAAATTTATGAGACCAGAATCTAGAAGTTTGTTTATCATGTAGTAAAACTGTGTTGGATTTTCTGGCTCTAGTGCTCGTCAACAGTTTTCTTCACGGAGAAAGAGACGTACCTATGCTCTCTGGCCTTGCGGTTTGTTGCGGGAAAGCTCCACCTACCTGAACAAGTTCAAGCTTTGGCACCACCTCAGAAGAGCCATACTCATGCCGGATAATTTTACTACAATAAGTTCTTCCTAAATAATGAAACTGAGGGGGAAAACTGTTACAAGGCCCTCGATATATTTCTCAGTGTATATCAGAAAGAACCATCTTCATAGCAGTGCAATCCTCTCTATTACAATGGGGCCTCACTTGTGGTACAGGTAGACAAAGCTGAATATAAAGAACCCGGCCATCTGCAAACGACAGGAGAATATGCTTAGCATGCACACATGCAAATACTATATGTTCACAAAACAACAATATTCCAATTTCTTTTAAACAGAAAATACCATAGTAAAAGAAGCCCCATAATAGGGGAAAGCAGCCGTAATGAATCTCTCATATTCATTGTGTCTGAAGGGCCGAACTGGAATCTGCATTCACAATTTCAGTTGGTTTTTTAACAGTCTTTCATGGCATCCACCACTAGAATGAAGAATTCTGTGCGGAGGATATATTAACAACATACAATAATAGATGCAGGAATCTTCATAAAAACAATTCACATTTTATAAATTGAAGCAATACAATTTGCAATCAATTGCTTCTTTGGGATTCGTTATCGTTGTCTCATGAATAGATATTTGGACAGGTCGGCACACAATAATATTTCTCAAAGCGCTTTTCCCCAAATGAGCATAATTATGTCCTTCCAGAAAAAACATTATGCAACTGAATTGATATAGCTGCACCACTTCTACTATCTAATTAGTCAGCACACTGCACCCGAACTAACCATCCAAATTCCTTTTCATAAGACATCCCAAATATGTTAAATTTGGCTATATTACTATCATCAAATTGCAGCCAGCACTTTTAACATCAATCATAATCACACCAGTCAATCCACTACAGTAAACCAGGTAAGTTGCTAAGTTGATTATGTAAAGGAAAGATTATCCAAGGCCCCATCAATCAGAAGCTTACCTGTTTGGAGAGTGACAGGCTAGTATATCCAAGCCTGTGATACTCAACCTTAAACTGGAAAACCCCATAAACATCAGGCACCTTGAATGATGTATGATACAAGCCCTGCAAAACCCGGTGCAGAAAAGATCAGTGGCATGGGCATGCTTGTAACTTGTAAGGTAAAATAAAAATGGGACCCAAGGAAAAGTGTACCTTCTTGTCATTTGATAGGGTTTTCAAAACATAAGGGCTCATCATGTAAAGCTGGACCTGGACATCATTCGCCACATATGGCTCCCAGCTCTTTCCAGACCATTCATATATCTCAACAGAAAAATCCTGCACTCATATACAAGTTCAGGGTGATTGTCAATACTCTTTCTCATCAGTAGCTTCCCCAAACAAAATTTCAAATAACTAAATGAGTGCACAGCTTGACAGATTACCAGATCATCTTTGATCCTATACATTGCTGGCTCATCTGTTTCCCCAGCTTTATTGTGTCTAAGATTCACAGCCTGGAGGCAAGAACAGACTTGATATTATACAACAGATGAAAATGCAACATAACACAATCAAGTGAAAGAAGGAAAGAAATCCTAAAAGTTGCCATTATATCAACAACCTACAGAATATTCTTTAGTATGTCTGAATGTTGTAATATAATTACACATTAGCCAGAATAATATAGTAACTCAAGACGACTGGAATGAAAACCTAACCTTCAGATGACCTCTTACATGGAAGACCCATTTGCTAAGTTCAGTCACAAACTGCTCATTACCAGATTTATCATATCTGTCAACACATGGTCACAAATAACATGACTTTCTTCCCTTAAAATATCAGAATAAATGAATTTCTGTTCACAAGCTAAACAATTGGCCAGCAGAGGGAAAGTAAGGCGAATGGATGAAAATTATCAAAACCATCCAACCAAAAATTTCCACAACAAAATAAGGAAGCAATGAAACCTCCCCCCCCACCAACCTGACACACACACTCCCTCTCCCCCAATGTGAACTCAAAATCAATTACACAATCTTTCATGAGCATGCAAACACAAATATCATGGCTTTGTGGATCTTCAGGAAAAGTATGCCTCATCTTTTTGCAAACATATGCATATTGAGAATGGGAATTGACCAGGAATAAATAGAAGTTATATGGGCCTGGAGCTCTTACCTCAACCAACTGCAGCCTTAACATATAAAAAAGTGAATACACATTGTGTGATGTAAAAATGAAGCTTGCAAATAAAGTTTGCGACATGTATTCATATAACGCTATCAACATGAGACAAGCCTAGGAAAAGTCTTGATGATGTAGAGGAAGGTGATTTCCTTGTACTCTTCAAAATGCATTAAGCCAATGACCATTAGTTTTCCTATTCTCAGTCGTTTGTACTATACTAGGTACAAAGAGATGACATATCATTTATGCAGCAACGATTCCTTATTGAACATTGTGAAACAACACGTCTTATAAAACCTTAGCAGGCCAAAATGGATGTAAGCTAAAAAAAAAGTTTGATAAGAGCTTCGCTTACTTTCTTGGGCTCCCAGCTTTCTGTACGCTTGATCTGAAAAATCTGAATCACACAGATATTTCAATAAATATGAAACCAATAATTTACTAGAGAAATACTGGAGTTGAAAAACCATCATATGAGCATACCGGTTACTAAACATATCTAATGAACCTGTTATCATAATCCGAGCATTGTTTCTAGCCTGCATTATGTAAAAATTGTCAGCAAGAAGAAATCTCGCTCAAATTTATTATTTCTTTTTATTAAAATCTCAACTAAGAGCAGGTGTTCATAACACAGACACCCACCATGACATGCAAAAGTCATACATACATGGGAGCATGTATGGGATTCAAGAGAAACATAAGGAAGGATAGCTAGAGATAAATGGAATGGTTAGAAAACCAAATTAAAATAAATCATAAAATACAGCACAACAAACCAATGTTCTTCAGCTGTTTTATGTGTGATGAGAGAAAAGGAGCAACATTTTGAAGGAGAGAGCTAAGTTACCTGCACTACTGAAACTAACGAGATGGAAGATCCAGTTAATGATGGAGGACTTGACAATTTGGAGCTTGGATTAGCTGAATAAGCCAAAGGAGATGCAGAAAGGACTTTCGATACCTATACATCATAACACATAACCCAGCAAACCCATTAAAACTTCTTCATCAGGCTACATTAACATAGAAATAAACCAGGACACATTTGACCTTACCAGGGTATTCGCTGCATTTAAAGAATGTGCAATCCCTTTAAAGAGCACAGGAGCCTGTTTAATCCAAATTCCATAAAAATCTTAAACTTCCCAAGGAATTGACGTACCCAATGAAAAGATCAAACAAACTAACCTCAATTTTCTTCTTTCCAAGCAGCACATCAGATTCAATAAAATCATCGGCAGCGATCAATGTATGATCACCCTCAGTCTCAGCGATAGCGTAACTTTTATGGTCAATAACCAAGGCAGATGGATCCTACAATATAACGTAAACTCAATAAACAAAATAAATAAAATAAAATGACAAAAAATCCAATGCAGCATAAATTCCACACCAACCTCATCGAAATCAACCCCACATTCAGTAGCCAGACTCTTAATCAAATCAGAAGAGGAACTATCCGCCGCAATAATCAAATCATGACCCGAGTCGACAAAGTCAAGAACAGCAGCTAAATCCAATGCACCACCAAATCCTAAAAATAAAAATCCCAAAATACAAATTATTCCAAGAAAACCAAAAAAACAAAATCCTAAGAAAACCCATTTTCTCAAAACGGAAACTGAACCATAAAAATCATAACTTGACAAAAAAAACAACAATTTGTTTGGATTCAACAACTTACTTTCGATTGAAGGAGAAAAGAGAATTAAGCCATCATATAAGTACTGGCCATAACGTTTAAGGGCGAGTTTTGGGTCATCAGCAAGCTTGAAATCAAGATCGAAACCACGAGATTTGAGAGAATTGAAGAAGATTGAGTGGGAAGATTTGAGTGACAAGTCGTCGAGGAGGACTAAGAGGCGACGATCTGTTGGGGAATCTGTGGAGAAAGAGAGGGTGAGAATGGGAAGGAGTGTGACCAATAGAATTGTTAAGATCGAGAAATTGTTTCTTCCCATTCTTGCAGTCTCGGCTGCCTAAGTGAGTGAGAGAGAGAGAGGCTGAGGGTTTACCAAGCGTGGGGGAAGACGTTGAAGGACTGTGGAAACTGGATTTTGAGAGTACACACTGGTTTTCTCTTTGTTGAAACGTTTCGCACGAAAAGTTTCTTATTAGGGCAAACATCAAATATACCCCAAACTATTGGGTTAGTATCAATTTTACATCCAAATTATTTGTTATAACAAATTTACCCACATATTATTTTGATTTCTCAATTATAACTTAGATCATAGTCACTTAACCGAAAATATTAAATACTATTTGAAATGATGTCATTTATTGTATAATAAAAGTATAATTTTGGATGAAAATATAAAAACTTAAAATTAGATGGAAATCCTTAGTTAATAATTTCTGATTTTATATGATAGAAACTAAATAATCATCCCTTGGATCAAGTAAAACAAAATTGAATGTTAAAAAAATTATTTTAGTATTGTTAATATGTTTTATAATGACAAGGAAAAAATTAATTACAAACTCAAAATTAATGTTATGTTTAATAAAATAAATAGAAAATTATTTGTACTGATAAATTAAAAAAAATATTTTAATATTAACTAATAACTAAGTTGTTAATTTGAGAAACATACATGTATTAGAATATTTGATTTTATATTATAGCAAGCTATTTAAATTTAAAATAAATTAATTCTTTCTTTGTTATTAACATCTTTAATTCTAACAAAGAAAATCTAACATTTTGCTCAATTTCATTTATTTATCAACAAGAGGATGTGTGAAAAAAAGACTTGAACAATTAAAAAAAAAAAAGTTACCTTTCTAACAAAAACCTCCTTGTATTATTAATGTGCTTAATTATTTTTGGAATTTTTTTACTATAATATTTATTTTTTAGACAACATCCTATTATTATTCTAAAATCAAGTTTCACTTATAAAAAAAATAACATTATGATAATTTTAATGTTAGTGTATTAAAAAAAAGAATAATATAAAGAAAATTTTTTAAATCCAACCCAATAAATCAATTTCAAAACCTTTCAATTTAATTTCTTACCTAATCTAGGTATTAAATTAAATTGTGTAAGGGTTGGTCTAACATGACCTAATCGACTAGGTAAATCCAAAACCATTTAAAGAGACCAGTAAAACCCTGATATAACTTTAAAATTTTTTAAAGATAACATATTTTTATCCAAAATGTTATTAGCTTGATATTTTTTAAAAAATAACAAGATAATAACATTTTAGATCTACTTGGACTTACTTATGTTAATATGTTAAACTCATGACTTAGCTCATGGACCCGAACGAGTTTAATAATCTAGATTTATGTTATATAACACTTGATACAACAAATGCTTGACATTTTTATAACCCAACCGTATGGTATAACTTACACATGAGCTATGAAAAGAACTTGATTTGTTGTTAACATAAGTTATAATCATGAATGCCTGACAACATTTACAAGTATTAGTATTATTCAAATAAGATAACTAATGTCATCATGTTAACAATTTATAATCTGATTAGAACCTCCTTTGTGTGTGGTTTTTAATTGAATCATAAGAGTTTATACTAGACTTATTTGACATACCATTAGTGGATCCTCTAACCTTGACATTTATTGTTATCATTGTTTAATCCTTACATAATCTTTTATCTCAAAGTTCTCATTAACTTTTTCTTTATTATTATTATTATTATTATTATTATTATTGTTGTTGTTGTTATTATTGTTATTGTTATTGTTGTTATTGTATTATTGTTATCTATAATTTATATAATTAACCTCTCTATGGTTCGACCTCGGTCTTGTCGGATTATTTATTATTTCGACAGCCCTACACTTGGTAGAAGACATCAATCTTTTAGTCGTGTCAAGTTTTTGGCGCCGTTGCCGGGGAGGTAAGTTCTTGTATAAATTA